TATATATATATATATATATATATATATATATACATATATATATATATATAAACATATTAGGTTACATCCTGTGTGTGAAGGTATTGGTTACATACTATGTGTATGGATATGTTATATCCTATATATGTACTTATCTGTTACATGTGTATGTTATGTACATATAAGTTTGTTATATCCTATATATGTACTTATCTGTTACATGTGTATGTACATATAAGTTTGTTATATCCTATATATGTACTTATCTGTTACATGTGTATGTACATATAAGTTTGTTATATCCTATGTATTTAGGTACATATGATGTCATTTGTCCGTATAGGTTATAGTCTTTGCATATTTCCTGTAAATTTCTTATAGGGAATCTGTAAATTTCTTATACGGAATACTTTTTCGTATGGTAGCCTCAAGTGTCCGCCATTTATCTTCTGTCGAACATTTATAACATTTTGGCTAGAACAATTATTTTACACGACCACAACTAGCATAGCCAAAACGTCTTACCAGGGTCAAAAAAGTTTAACTTGTTCCAGGTCAAAACACCGCCACCCCTCCCCTACAGCCATAATCGTGAGACGATTGTGTTATTAAACAAACAGTATTAACGTTAATCCACAGGAGCATCAGGCGAGAACAGTTCTAGGTCTATGCTACTTATGGTGGATTCATGTCGGCAAATGGATTTAATTGGAACAGTCTAGCCTTTCGGACAAAAAATATGTTGTTGACTGCGTTGTTACTGACATTTTTGTTGTTGTTGTTGTTGCTTTCCTTGCCTCTACATTGGAATTGGAGTTTCAATTTGTTGTTTACTTGCCTTTATTGGTCTCATTAGGTTCAGGTTGAGTCTATCAGAGTTTTGGACATTTATGAGGGGTATGTCCTGTTTGTCCTCATCAGTTACATTTCCTCTTGTATATGCAACCATTGTACCAAGATTTTGTAATGACGCCATGTTAAAATAAGTCTCTTTTTACTTCTGGCAATTTGGTCTTTTCAATTTCAAGTATTCATATTCCATTGGAGATGATGGTTAAATGTTCTAATTTGTTTGTATTATATTTGTTATAGTTTTTAGTCGATGATTCTGTAACTCCCTTTCGTTGTGGTAGTATTCTACCTTCACTGTCAGCTTTGTCAGGGCCATTTCAGATTTAATTTGGAAAGGCTGGACATCACTTGTCAAATAGAGGTTTGTGTGTGTGTGTGTGTGTGTGATTTATTATGTTAACGTATTATTAACAATATTTCAGTCACATCGCTATGATGTCTGCAGTGTGACAGTTTATAGTGATGTTTTGCACTGGGGCATTATGCCGCAGACATGTGGCATGATGTCACACCCAGTCACATTATCCTGACACCAGGCCGACAAGTCCTAACACCAAAGTCTTAATGCTGAGCGCCAAGCGAGGCAGCTGTTAGTACTATTTTTGAAAGTTTTGGTATGACTCGGTTGGCGTTCGAACCCGCGACCTTTCGCATCCGAAGCGGACGCTCTAATCGCTATGCCATCGAAGCGGTAAAAAAAAAGAGTTTGAGAATTTAGACTAATTCATGTTAATTTTGCAACCATATGGGAGCTGCCAGTTTGGTTAGATATATGTTTAAATCCTGCCGTTTCCACAATAGCAGTATGTAAGTTAAGTTCAGCCTTATTAAATGGACGGGGGCCTAGAGTATGCCAACATTTTCTCCACTGTGGATGTTTCAAACGTAAACAAGTTTACCTTACACCTGTCTCTCGAAGTACATAATATCTGTAGATGTCCCAATTTTATAAAGACTACATAGGTATTATGTCTGTATGATTTAAGTTTGGTTGTTTAACTGAAATATATAAGACGCAATCATCTACACATTATATTTTAATAATTCTCTTGTATTGTTTTAGAGTGCAATAATTATTAGCAGTAAAAACTACTTACACTTAAAATTGTTGTGAAAGAAAATAAAGAAATATATATATTTTTCCTTGCAGTATAAATGAAGATAAAAACAATGGCGACAACACAGTCGCTTATTCCATATAGATTTAGAAACTGTTGACCACTGAACTCTGTGAACCTTATCTATTCCATCCCTGTTGAAAATGATTGATTTATTAGTGACATCTCAGGAATAAGTGTGGCAAATTTCGTGTTTTATCTTTAATCGTAACAATAGTTAAATGTTGAGAAAATGTAACGTGCATTTTTTTTAAAAGATAACTTTTCATAATGGTGTGTGTGTGTTTGTGTGTGTATGTGTGTGTGCTGTGATTGTGTGGGACTAAAGGAACTATTTTATTAGACTCATTACGTATATGCATACCTGCACAATAAGTCGGGTTATGAATAACATTCAAAATTGTAAAATAAATCGCCAGAATACTGAGGCGTTTTCACAGCAGCGATTGTGCAGCGAGCAAATTAGTTTAGAGTGGTAATTTTGTAGAAAAACAACGAGGAGTTCTGACTGAATATACAGTTGGAAAAACCTCGATTTTTGTTTTGTGGATAGGGGTCCTGTTATTTTATAGATGGATGCATCTAATTGCGTTGTTAAAAAATGAAACTTCTGCAAACGTTAACTCACAACTTTACTAGTGAAGATTGTAATAAGCAAGCTGCATGCTACGCATGTGATTGCTAATCATCAACCCAGTCTTACCATACAATTATATAAAAGCAGTTGCTTGCAAATCACTCCATACAGAGATATGTTAATTTTCGATCAATATTAATAGGTCGATTGATCGAATCTTTCATTAATACTTTTCAGAACTATCGTACTTAGTTACAAATGGTTTTCAAATTGCACAATCATCCAATAGATAGTATCTTACATCAGCACATCAGTCCAAAGTATCCCTAAAGTCTTTAAGGTTAAGGCCGAATGGATGGTTAGAACACGTACGAATATAGGCAAGCAGACTAGTAGAAAGGGCTTTAAAAATCGCAGACAACTGTGTCACACTTCGGTGCTCATGAAACGGCAAATAATTATTATTCGGCAAACAATTTATTCTCCAGCTCTAGTGAACGTACGTGTATTTTCCCCCATAATGCGTCACGAGGTTGTCAAGCAACTTACCAATCACTCCAATTCGGGGTTGGGGGTGCTGGGGTGAGTATTCTTATACAACTCCCACCTACCTCGACACCCATTATCAACCGAACTATATCCTTTGTTTTACGCGTTGTTGTTGTTGTTATCTTGGGATTTTAATCCTTTTAGTCATAGCATTATATGCTATAAATAGCGTAACGAACCCAGGTGTTGGTATATGAGCCATATTCGTAGTATTTGTGAAAGGCAAATTTTGCATGAGACGAAGTAAATTTTCTCACGATTGCCATCAGGCATTAAGGAGAACTATGCAAGAATCTCATGGGTATCGACCATTTAGAATCACAAAGTGTTAATGCTAAAGCGATCAATAAAAATATATTAGACGAAACACACTATATGTAAAGAGTACAGAATATGTGATATATACGGATTATTTAATATTCCCAACTCTCCCCCTCAATAATGTTCAGGAGGTCACCCACAATGTCTTGGTATGGTTAAAAAGTCATTCCCCACCCCAAAAGATACCGTCAAATAGCTGCCCCAACTGAATGCTATGGTACATCTCTCAGGTAATACAGCGGGATGCTATTGAGTTTTACCACTATTTTTTAGAGCAAATGTTGTTGGAAAGACAGTTTTAGAAATATAAAAAGCAGTCTTCTTAGGCCACTATGGACCTTGAAATTGGTAGCTGTGACCTTGTTTAAAATAGTCTTCAAATGTTACATCAATATTTTAAATACACGCAAGAGGAAGTGTATAATGTCCCTCTAGCAAACAGTCTTTTCTTTGAAACTATATCATATTGCAAATGTGTCTTCACGAAACACATACTAAAACTTAACTTTAAGAAACTTAAAACTATACACCTTTTCCAGTCCTTTCCAGGAGCAAGCCAAAATATTAACGGGGTTCGATCAAGAACTAGAATGGGCCTGCTACAAACTGACCAACGTTTAAGCAATAGCTAACACATTGTAGCCCAATAACAACAGTTTGTTACAAACCTACTTTGCCTCCATGATATTACTTCATCAAGTTCATTCTTTTTGTTTTGTTTGTTGATCCTTGTTTATATTGCCGTGTTCAAATATAGTAAAGTAGTTATTTTAGTGTTTTCCGCAAGCTATCATTCTAAACTGAAAATGTTATAAAGTCACATTCTTAGAAGTACTGCGAAAAAGAGACAAGCTAATAAAACTAAACGAGCATGAGACTAGATTTAAATTAGTGATATTCTTGAATGAAATGAAAGCAAATGTAACTCATGCAACATTGAGCATTGATGAAAATTCGTTTATTATTATCACTTTTCCTTTATGCGAATGATCTGGGACTTTCTAGGTGATCATTCAGAGGGATACCTAAATAGCTTTTGGAGTTGCATCCCTTGAAATCGTTGTATCCACAATTATTTCCCTTGAAATCATTACCTGGGCTATTCTCGCATGATCATTGTACAGAAGAAATTAACTTAATGAATAATTATATACATGTTTACAACTATCCAGTCTTGTCCTAAAAATAAATAATAAATTTGTTGCAATTGTGTAACAAATAGTAAATACGCGGTAAATTGTATTTCAATTGACTTATCATGCAATATGTAATAATAATAATAATAATAAAAATAAAAATAATAATAATAATAATAATAATAATAATAATAATAATAATAATAATGATAATAATAATAATAATACACCAGCGTAATAGTTTTGTTGCGAACAAATAATTCTTGATTGCTAATGCAAACAGAGTTACGCAGAGTTGTCTTTTATGCACTAGAGAAGTCTCACTTGGGATTAATTAGTGGATGTAATTTGGATTTTTTTTAATGTTGGTATTTAAGGCACTTTTAATACAGTATTGGCTATATTATACCAACTCAACTGGGACTAAATGCCTTTCCCCAAGGACTTAACTAGGTAGCCAAGATGGCTTGGCCTGGGATGGGATCGAGCTAGCGACCCTTGGCTAACAAGTCCAATGCTCTATCAACTGAGCTACCGCGGCTCCATATTCAGAACATACATATTTACAACTCACCCTGAAAGCCTTGAGGGGATTTTTCATCATATCAATCACTGGTTTTTATACAGCCATCGGGTTATTTTTATTCATACTCCCTCTATGTCTCCTGTCTGGCATTTAGTAACGGATAACACACTCTGAACACCAGTTGAAGCAAGCAAAATAAACGGCGGAGGGAACCTGCATTACTATCTAATGAAATATTCCAATAACAGAGGCTCACACCACTGTCGTAAACTGTAAACTTTTTAAATTTTTGGTCTTTGTCGTTATTTTATATTTCAAAAACAAAAGGAAAAAAAAAATTCGTAACATCTTTCGAAATGGCATCTCCCCTGTACTTTTTAATGGTCATGTTCTAGTATGTGTCAACAATATACGTGTTTGGGTCATACTTTACAATCGACTGTCAGAGGAGGGAAATGTGATAAAATATTACAGATTATTTTTTTACAAGAAACAAACATGCATTTACGTAAATTGAAAAAATTGATCTTGAATAAAATAGCTTGATTATTAAGTCTTTTTGCATCACAATGCAATGCATACCTTCATAGGCAAAATTTTTTGAGTGTATAAAAATGAAAATTAGAAGCTGGTAATAGCAAATGTTTTCGTTGACTATAAAGCGTCCGAAGATGGAATAGTGATTCTACCATATTTGCAAACTTCGATGTAATTAGTATGAAGATCGAATGACATAATATATTTCAAGTGTTGATAAGAATATGACATAATATGTTTCCAGTGTTGACCAGAATATGTCAAAATATGTTTCCAGTGTTGACAAGAATATGACATAATATGTTTCCAGTGTTGACAAGAATATGACATAATGTTTCCAGTGTTGACAAGAATATGACATAATATGTTTCCGGTGTTGACAAGAATAGTTAATAGTAAACCTTTATCTTGAAATCTTTATGGAACCAATATATTTGTTTACATTATCTGATTAAAAATAAATGAAACAAACTACTCTTTGTATGTCTCAAATAATTTTGCTCTTAAAATTCCGAGCTTTGTGTGTGTGTTTGTGTGTGTGTGTGTGTTTGTGTGTGTGTGTGTGTTGGATATTTTAACGTAGCTTTAACAATTTTCCAGTCATATGGCTATATTGTCTGCACCGTGGTAGTTTATAGTGACGCCTAACACTGGGTCATCAGACCGCAGACATGTAACACGATGCCCCATCCAGTCACATTAAAGATAAATGAAACAAACTACTCCAGCCAGTCCTAACATTAACTTCTTATTGCTGAGGTCCCAACGAGGTAACTTTTGAAATTAAAAAATTAAGGGTAAAAACTAGGAGCCGATAGGGATAACTCCAGTACGAGTTCTGGAGGGAGCGTACGTCCGATTGTCGACCATCAAATGGTACAGATATATATACCGCGTTTTAGCGACAAGGAAGTATCCATTGACGACTTTCTTATGCAATTCAAGAAACTCGCGTGCGTTCATAAAATTCTCGAGCAACATTGGGCGATTAATGTCTGAGCCTTTATGCAGGGTGCAGCTCGCGAAGTTTACCATAACTTAGCCGCAGACGATGCTAAAAACTACAAAGTACTCAAAAAGGCCTTTCGTTGCCATTATCGGTTGACCGCCGAAACGTACCGTAAAGGTTTTCGGGACTCGACAAAGAAGGTCACGGAAACACACACTCAATTCAACACTCGTGTTCGAGGGTTGTTTGAGAAGTGGATGAAGATGGAAGAAGTCGAACGATGGTTCGACGGGTTACGCGAGGTTATACACTAGGAGCATGTCCTGAGCACTTACCGTTTCGAGTTGACAGTATTCATAGCAGAAAGAGAGCACAAGACGCTCGAAGACATTGCTGGTATGGCGGAGAGATACAATCAGGCGCATTCGAAGAGTGGAGGTTCCTGGGGTACTGACCGACCCCGACCCACTGAGTTGCGCCGGGAACAAGCCTTGCGGGACGTCAGTGACCGTCGTCGTGCTACAACTGCAAGTGCCTGGGGCATTTTGCAAAGGACTGTCCCAAGAGCAGGCACACCCAGTTAAATGCTGTTGCTCGGAAGAAGTGCTAGACGGTGGCCAGCTGTAATCAATCGAACCGTGCGTCTGCAACTGTCAACGGAGAAGGACTTTGACTTCGATTCACCATACGTGAAGGGGAAAATTCAATCTGTGTGCTTGGATGGGCTCTCACATGACGTCATACTGTGATGTGGCTACGTGTTGTCGCAACCAAACCTCAAAACTTGCACACCAAAGCCGGTGAGTGTGGTAGAAACCAGATCCCAGATTCGACAGACGAAACCGAAGCCGATTCAAGTTACGTCAACACCGGTCAGTAACGTACTTCCGGCACAGTTGAAGCTTCAACAGGAAGACGCAACTCTGACGTAGTTGCATAAACACGCTGAAGATGGAACGGAGAAAAAACTCTAAATGGCGCGGTGAAGTTCGTGTACAATAAGAGAATCTTGTATCGCCACCCAGGAAGGGGAAAGAATTCTTCAAGCAATTCGTCGTGCCCAAGGAAAAGCGAGTTAAAGTTTTGAAACTCGCTCATGAAAGTCTCATGGGAGGATACATGGGAATTGCTAAGAATCGTGGCCGTCTTGTCAAGGAGTTCTACTGGCCAGGGGTTCAGGGAGACGTTAAGCGGTTCTGTCTCTCCTGTGACAAGTGTCAGCGAATGCCACCGGAAACGGATAATCGACCCGTCTCTTTGGGGAGTACACTCATTATAGATGAGCAATTTCGACGCGTCGCAATGGATCTGATTGGATCGATAAAACCCGCGTCGTTACAAGGAAATCTGTATACTTTAACGGTAGTAGATTACGCTGCACGCTATCCGGAGGTCGTAGCCTTGCATAATATTGATTCGGAAACGATCGCAGATGTGATGTGCTACTTGGAATTTGTTTGAGATTCGAAGTGAACGATGAGATCCTTACCGACCAAAGACATAGTTCGTGAGTCGCGTGATGGGTGAGGTGAACCGACTGATATCGATTAGACACCTCACAACTACACCATATCACCCTCAATGTAGCGGACTAGTCGAGCGGTTTAACGGGACTCTGAAAAACACGCTCAAGAAGCTGTTTGAAGGCCGTCCCAATGACTGAGATAGGTACATTCCTGCCATGTTTTTCGCATATCGGGAAGTATCATAAGCGAGTTTATGGTTTTTGAACTCCTATATGGGTGGACCGTACGTTGTCCCATCGCCTTACTGAGGGAACTGAGGAAGGACGAACACTCTGTCGATGAGGTACGTACTACCTACCAGTACATCGTGGATTTGCGAAACAAACTGGAAGAAGTATGTACCCTCGCACTGGAGAACCTTGAGCGAGCGAAGTTGAGATAGGGAAGTACTACAACAAGCGCGCAAAACCATGTCAGCATGAAGCAGGGGACAAGGTGCTGTTGCTGTTTGCTAAAGAACACAAAAAGTTGTAAGTTTCTTGGAGGGGACCGTACATTGTAAAGGAGAAGGTTTGGGTCAAATCTATCGGACACATCAACCGAATAAGGAAAAGCTCTACCATGCTAATCTCCTTAAAAAGCAGAGAAAACGAGCGACCTCCAGCGATTTTGTCGTCGCCACGATTTTTACCGAGGACACAAAAGACGATACGGAAGATGCAAACACTGTCGTAAGCTGAGACGCCATCGGACGTGGAGTGTGACACCATGTTGACTGCAGAGCAGTGTGAAGAGGTAAAGACGTTGCTTGCAGTGTATTCCTATGTGCTTACGGAATTACCCGAGAGATCGTCATTTGTCGAGTTCGGGTTGAAGCTGGTGGACGACCGGCCCGTGCAGCCAAAACGCTACCCTTGCAACACGCGAAACGACAAGTGGTAAGAGAAGAAATCGAGCAGATGATAGCTCTGGGAGTAATCAAATCCACCGATTCTCCTTACAGCTATCATGTAGTCTTGGTGCAGAAGAAGGATGGCACCCATCGCTTCTGTGTCGATTACCGGAAGCTGAATCAGGTGACAGAATTGCAAGTTAAAATGCTACCTGACCCCGAACATATCTTCGCTTCTGTCTCGAACGAGAAGTATTTTTCGAAGCTGGATTTGTCCAAGGGCTATTGGCAAATTTCGGTAAGGGAAGAGGATACAGCAAAGGTCGCTTTTGCTACTCTCCACGGGACCTACCAGTGGTTAGTCATGCCGTTCGGAGTCCAGAATGCGCCTAGCGTCTTCACTAGAATGATACGTAAGTTGTTGAAACCCTTGAGCTATAGTGATATTCACTTCATGGATGATATCTTGCTAGCCACAGAAACGTAGGGTGAATACCTGGAACGGCTATGTTAAGAGGGATTGACGGCCTACCCTTCCAAATGTCACCTTGGGTTCCAGACGTTGGACTATCTGGGACACACCATGAGTCAAGGCACTTTGTACCCAGAGAGGTCGAAGGTAGAGCAACTGAGAAATGCTGTAATCCCCAACAAGAAGACTGAGGTGAAGTCATTTCTGGGATTGACCGGGAATTACCGGAGGTATGTCGCCAATTTCACCGCAATTGCGGAGTCGTTGTATGACCTTGTGCGTTGGTCGCTGTTTTTACAGCAATATCAGATGCAGACGTGAAATAAACGGAGAACGCAGACGCCGATTTCATGAGCCGAAGCGCTGATATGGTTTAGATCGTGCAGGAAATAATCGTGCATTGTGTGTGTGTTTGTGTCCGTAGTCAGAGTGTAGCGTTGTTAGTATTTTTTCTATTATTACGCGTAGTAATGCCCATTTTCAATCGGAGCAAGTATGGGGGAATAAAATCCCGATTTTATTCTCAAGCGAGCGGGGTATGTGTGTCAGGTTACGCAAACCTAAGACGACCGGATGTATAAACGTGGGGCTAGTTCAACGTGTTTGGGCAATCGCCGCCAGCAGCGTCGAGCGATTATGTATGTCGCCAGAAAACTCAGTTTTCTGAGTCCAGCCGGTACCTCGCAACAATGCCTTATAT